CCAAACACCACATTTTGTTGCCTAAAATAATAATGTTCTAAATAAATGTATATTGTAATAAGGTTTAATAGATTAAAGGCCACTTCATCTGACATACGGCACATGATTTAAGTTGCAGGCATATATGTACATAATATCCCAAAGACCGATTAGATCACACAGATTGGGCCTCCTCCGGGTACCATTGGCGGGTCAATGTCGGCTGGCGGCCCCCCAGGGGAGGGCCTTCTCTGTGGCTGCCCCAGCCCTATGGAACAATCTTCCCATAGAGATCTGGACCGTCACTACTCTTCCGGCCTTCCGTAAAGCCACTAAGACCTGGCTGTTCTGGCAGGCCTGGGGCTGTTGATCAGCATCCAGCCCCATTTTAAGTGTATGTCTGTTGCGTAATTTTAAAATGATTTATTTCTATTTTTAATTTTTAATTCCCTTGTTTCTGTAAGCCGCCCAGAGTCCTCTGGGAGTGGGCGGCATACAAATACCAATAAACTGAAACTGAAACAACTTGCTGGTTGGGAATTCTGGGAGCTGAGGTCCACACATCTTCAAGCTGCCAAGATGTATAGCTTCCTGGGCAGAACACCCCATCCTCTTCTTGGGAATATTGTTATTTTATTATCCAAGTAAAAATAAAATATTGTTGCTTTGCATCACAATCTGTGGCTGTACAGATTTAACCAGCATTAAACCAGTAAACATTCAATAGAGATAACAAATAATTCAAAACCTACAGAATTAATAATACTATAATTTTATGTTATTTCATATTTAGTAAGCCTACTCCATCAAGCATGCTTTGGAAAGTGTATAGTGAAATATAACCATATCTTTATGAATTAATGTTTTCACTCCTTGTATATTTTTGTTATTGTTATAGCCATTTTGTTACCTACAAACAATGTTCAGGAAATATATTTACCCATTTAATTATTGGAATAAAGCCATTCTATTATGTTTATTTGATACTGAAAGATACATGGAAATAAACATGTCAAACCATAAAATATTTTGTTTTATAATATGCACCATGAGGATTCTTTTTAGAGGAAGCGTATGGTAATTCTTTTTGTAAATACATTTGTATCCTGATTCAAAATTCTATATAGTACATATCAGCAATTGTTAATTAATTCCAATGTTTAATTTGAAATTAATTCTCTGTCCTTTCTTCACATCTACAAAAACAGAAGACAGTATAGTGATAATATTTTCACATTTATGGTTAGATGTTAATTTATATAAATAGTTTATCAGTTTTCCATTTTAATTTTAAAACTACATACAATAACATTTAATTGAAAAGGTAAAAGTATACTTACAAACTGACTATATGTACAAATATGCAAATATTATATCTTTAAATACACATGTGTTGTTTTAAAACTGAAGAGAGACCTTTTTAAAAACTAAACTGAGAATTTTATTAGGTCTTTTAATCCTTTATTTGCCTATATAATTTTATTTTAATTTATAATGTTATTGTTATAATAATATTCTGTATATAATTTATATTATATACAGAATATTTTCTTGAGATAAAAATAGAATCTATATACCGTAACTAATTTGTAGGCCTCCCATTTAGAGCCTAATATTTCTCTTGAACAAATGATTTTTAAAACATTACTATTTTTGATATATGTACTTTGTTCTATTTCCTTTTGCGAAGGGAGTCTGCATATAGCAATGAGTCTACAGCAGCTATGCTGTTGCATAACTTATTCCTAAAACTGGATGAGCATTTAGAGCGCGTTTCCCAGGAGAAGAATCTCCTTTTGATACATAACCTAAAGAAAGTCAGGAAAATTCTTCAGGTGAGTTTAAGAAAGAATCACAAAGAAATCTCCTGCGCCAGTTATGGTGTTAGTTCTGTTATATAAGGTTTTGTGTAAGGATATTTATACCAACCAGAGCTCAGGAATTATTGGATACATTGATTTTAAACATTTGATCAAACAAACTGAATTTTAAACTATTCTTTTTCAGCATGATGTTTATAATCAAACATGGGTAGAAAAAGAAATCAGATAAATGGCAAAAAAGTACTCCAGAATATAGAAAAGATACCAAGACAATCATGTAGAAAAGTTACAATAGAGTCATTATGTCTTTGGGGAGGGGGCGAGGGAAAAAATGAGATCAACTCATTGTAATGCAAATTACGCATATTGTTTGATTTGCATTATTATGCAATAATGTCATTATGTGTGTGACATAATCATAGCATCTACTGAATGCTATGGGGGTAAAGCAATGTTTAATAATAAGGCTACATTTGTGTTTCAGTTTCAAAATAAGAAGATTTACATTTTGAAATGTAAAGGAAGCTACAAACATGCATACTTTCCAAAACAAACTATGCAGTCTTCATTATTAATAGAGTATCTACTATACATAGCCATTATATAAACACTACAATGTGGTGCGTAGCAGTGTGAAATTGGAATGAATGCTATGCCATAAGTGTCAGTGACCAAGGAAGTAATAAATGATGATAGAATATTGAAAAAGGGGTGAGCTGTAATATAGCCACAAAAATGTTACAATATGGATGTGGTTTGTTTATGGAGTGGATATGAAACTATTTTTTTAATGTATGTGAAGATTAAGTTTGCCTGACAATTGGAAAAAGGCCTTTATTGTCCCCCTATAGAAAGTTGCAGAAGATTTCAGAAAGATTGCAGAAACAAACACAGAACATTACAGGAGTGATTTGTTCATTAACTGAGGTGTTTGTTAGAATTCTAATCAAAATGGTGGCAATGAGCAAAATTTGGGAACAGCAGCAGGGCTTTGTTATAGGCAAAGGGTTGCAGAGATAAGATTTTTACTCAAATTATAATATTCAGTTATGTGTGCATTTACATGATGTGCAAAATCAATTTTTCTCTGGTGTGTCTGAATCTTGTTCAGCATTATACTTCTCCACAAGTTAGAGATGTAACTAAACTAAAAGCCATAAACCGTAATCTTAAATACAGAGGGGATAATTCAATCTCTTCTGCTGAGGATCAATAGCTGTAAGCCTTGATGGCAGCAGGTGTCAAGCTCAAAACCAAGAATAATACATGGTAAATCTTCCAAGCTGAATTCTTTATTGTTTAACGCTTATAGACAAACCTTTGCTTGACAGATTTCATATACTGCATATGGTATTGGATCTGGGTACTTGAGAGACCGCCTGCTGCCAATTACCTCCCACAGACCCATTAGATCTCACAGGGTTGGCCTCCTCCGGGGGCCATCTACCAGCCAATGCCATCTGGCTATTACCCGGGGGAGGGCCTTCTCTGTGGCAGCTCCGGCCCTC